GCAATGTGGTCTAGCTTGGTGATCTATACCCGAGAAAGGATAGCGTAAAGGCACTCAATGTTACTTCTAGTCGTCCTGTGGGAAATTATAGATTACCAATCGTATATTACCAATCCTGGAAGGCCACTGAAGGCAGGACTAATTGAAGCAGATCGGATTTCTACTGTACTCAAGTGGCCAGTGGACCTCCGCCGCTGCAAGGGCCCAGATTAGGCTGAAGAGATAAAATATTGCCTGAAATTCGAAATCTAGATTATTCTATGGCTAATTCGTTGACATACTAATCATGACTGCTTCCTGTAAATATCATACCACATGTGCTACAGCTCACCGCTGATCAATGCCAACAATTCTGACACATCATCTGAAGTCTCCAAAGACAAAACCAAGTTCTCAATTCTCTGCAGTCTCTCCGAGTCAATCACGGAGCTCGCCAGCTTGCGCCACTTCTCACGGATCTCCTCATCCGTGATGGGAGGATCGAAGCCTTTCGGCATGGCAACCACATCCTCCACGGTCTCCCCATCGTTAAACTCGACCACGATGCGGGCCCCGCAGAGATGACCCGGCTTGTCGAACTCCGAGCTATGGACACAAGTCGTCTTGTCGATGAGACTCCACACAGCATCACTGTCCAAAGCATGAGGCTCGAACTGATCGAGCAGCACCTGTCCATACACCAGCTGCGCGGCACCGATGTACGCCGCGTTCATCTGGCCGCCCGTCGCAGTCAACGGCCGCTCCTCCGGGGCCCAGCCATCGTGGGCAAACACCGGCTCGGAAAGGGAAACCGTAATGCGACGGATATTCTGAAGCTGGTCCACGGCAAATCGGTCAGGGTAGTTCCGCTGGAGCTTCTCCAGGGCTTCGATCTGCCCGTGACAGCCGCCGACACAGGCATGCAATTTCACGCGGATATTCTTCGTCTGCCACTCTGTCCCCAGGGCAGTCGTTACCTCGGCAGGCTTATACTGCGGACTCCGGCCGTTTCCTTGTGTGAACATGGTGAGAAATCCACCATAGCTGCGGTCGAAGACCTTCTTGATTCCTACGTAGCCGTCGCGAGCCAGGAGCGCCCCGAAGAGCCCGTTGCGAGCGGCAAACGCGTGCTGTACTCGTTTCACCATCCCCTCATACTGCGCTGCCATCAGCCCGCCCGCCTGCGTGCAGGCGATCCCGACTGCCGACTCGGCGTCATCCGGAGAGAGGCCCAGTAGCTTCGAGGATGCCGCTGCCGCTGCCGGGGAGCCGAAGACCGGGCCTGAATGCCATCCCCGCGAAAGCAGATCCGCGCCGTACATGGCGGATCCGACTCGAGGTCCCGTTTCGAATCCCACAACGAGGGCAACGAGGAAATCGAGTCCCGAGACGACGCTCTTCCTGTGTCCCTTGGACTGTACTTCCGCTGCGGCGAATAATGCAGGCAAGAGGACACTGGCGGAGTGGAGCGGCGCGGCACTGTGGTAGTCATCTAGCTCTACGGCTTGGATGAAGGAACCGTTGAGAATGGCCGCCGCTTGCGGGCCGTACCGCTATGTACAATTAGCCATTAATTTATTGTATGCATATTGGATGAGATATACCCTCTTGTAGCCTATCACACTACAGTATCCTTCCGGTTCGTAGTCATCGATCGCCTGGGCGGCTTGCTCGGACCACGGGACGTGAGATCCGACCAGGCCACAGGCGATGCCGTCAAGCAGGAGATGTTTGGCTCGTTGGAGGACATCTGCAGGGATGTCTGACGGCTTAAGGTCTGTCACCCAGTTGCAGAGTTCTGCGGTGACGTTGCCTTCTGGCGTGGAGTCTGTGACGGTCATTGTGTATTGATCGTAGTGCTGAATACAGGGAATATGCACTTTCCCTCTCTCATTGGGCAGTAGAGGTCTTACATAAATAGAGGTGTAAGCGGCCCCCTGACCCCGAGACAGTTCGTAGTATTTCCTCAACGCGGGTCCTCGGGGGCGTACGCCTTCTTTTCGCGGACCGGCGTCCGAGTCGCGGGAAACATGGCGTTTCTTGAGGTCGAGCAGAGCGAGAGTGTATGCAGATTGCGGGCGTCATCCGCCGAAGGTCAAGCAGTGAGGATAGTTTAAAAAGTAATGTTCACCAGACAGACAGGAGACATTGTGACAGATTCACTCATCCTATGGAACAGATTCAAAGATGCTCTCCTATACTAGCCACTGTTTGCAGACACTGCTCGGGGTCGCGTCCCTGCCCTACCGGCAGTACCTGGGGTACTCCAGCCCTCAAGCAACCCTTCAAGCACCCCTTCAAGCAGCGCAAAGCGGACCCCCAGTCACCACGCTCGTCTCGTCGTGCGCGGGGTTCAGCTACCCGGAGGTTGCCTGCATTGATCGATACGGATCGCTCCTCCAGGGCGGGTTCGAGCGCAAAGTGCGTAACGTGCTTGGCGACGCCGACACCTACATCTCCACCAATGCGCCACAGGAACCAACCTTCTCCGACCTGCTCAATGCCGATTTCCTGGTGTGGAACCAGTCGGCGGCGACGGCCATCCTCGGTCCCAACCCCAGTGTCGAGTTCATGTTCAGTATCGAGGACTGCTCCCACGAGGCTCCCGTGTACGTCCCCACTACTAACGAACTGTACTTCTCCCGCTTACAGCAAGGATTCCTGCCTCAACTGGTGATTAACTTGAACAATGATCCACCCACCTTGGAAGAGAAGCTCGCCCAGCCACCCATCTACGCAGCCACGGGGGCTCGATTCCGCGACGGGCTGCTCTACCTCGCCACGATAGGTGGAAACGAGTCACTTGCGGGCTACACCTTCCGGCCAGGTCTGTATACATTGAACCCGACCACCGGGGAAACTCAAGCTCTCTTGAACAACTACTACGGGTATTATTTCAACGCAGTGGACGATCTCGACATCGATCACGAGGGTCAGATCTGGTTCACCGACAATGGTAATCCTTCCTCCCCTCCCCCTATTCTTCCCTCCTCTGTCAATCTAGATAGTTAATCTGTTCTACCAACAAGACTACGGCCGCCCATGCCAAGTAAACACCTACGCCCCGCAAATCAACCCAGCAACCTACCGCTTCGACCCCAAAACCGGGCTCGTAACCATGGTCGACGACTCCCTCCTCGAGCCCAACGGCCTCACCTTCTCCCCGGACAACAAAACCGTCTATCTCACAGACACGGGTGCCGGATCCGCCATCATTGATCCGAACATCTACCCAGCTCCGCACATCGCCTACAACTCCACGCGCAAGGGCCGCACCATCTACGCGTACGACGTGGCTCCATCGCGCAAGGCGCTGCTGAACAAACGACCCGTCTACCTTTCCATGGAGTATGCACCAGATGGAATCAAGACGTCGCGGGAGGGATATCTTGTCTCGGCCACGGGCAAGGGTGTCGTGGTTTTGACGGACGAGGGCGAGCCCCTAGTGCGCGTGCAGACTAATTTCACGGTGATTAATGTTGCGTTTGCGGGGGCGGATCGGGACGAGCTGTGGGCGATTGGGAAGGGAGGTGTTGCCAGGATTCGATGGGGGCTGAAGGGATCTTACGCTTAAAATCTTCGTTCATGACTTTGGGTCGCGTTCTATTCGGTTAATATTGGTTTTGATGACTTTTCATGTTTGGGAGTTCCTTTTGCGTTCAAAGTGAGATTTTAAGTTGTTTTTCTTTTTTTATCAGCAAAAGAGATCGAAAGAAATATAGAGATCTTCATTATCCCTGAACAACAGGTGTTTTTCCGTTGGCTTATTGTAGTAGATGGTGGACGAACACTGTACATTTAGGTTGGTATGATCCCTAACCCCGCGCCAGAGGACCGCGTACACGGACTCGTTCTATACGATAGATCAGATCGTTTCAGCTAGATTGAGCACTGCGCTCTACTGGGGCGGAGTCAGCCCCGCCGGAGATGATATGATGCTTGTACATACGGTTCAATTAGATGCGCCGCGTGGAGGCAAACCCTCGGAGAAGATATGTTGCTTTGCATACGGCGGAATTCCGACCGTTCGGGTAGAGTTAGACCGTCGGAGATGATTTGATGCTTGGTATTAGGACTCCTGACCTAACTAAGATACCTTAATAAAATTATACTCGCTCAGATAAGCGTCCACCAGTCTCCGACGATCATACAATCCCGGGCCTTCTTTCGCCCGCTGCCTTTCCCAGGCCCCTCGTAGTGGATGCATATCCAAAACATCACTCAGAAGAATGACCTTATTCTCACCGCTTCGGTGACCGCTTCTTAATTGCCGGGTTCTCTATAACATTGTGAAAGGTTATGAATTTCTTAATTCTTTGTAGCTTCTGTATATCAAGAATGTAGGTTTAATATCTTATATTTAGGTGTTTTGTAGAATAGTTCATTCTGATTAATAAAACGAGAAAAAATTGCAAGTTTAGTATCTATTGATTACTATGTTCTTTCGCATACATCTGCCACGTACGTAGCAATATATATTTCTGGTAGCACGAGACATAGTAAGTAGTATATATATTTCTGGTAGCACGAGACATAGTAAGTAGTACGCATTCTGAGGACTTTCCCCTTGAGTAATATCGACAAAGAACTAGAAAGTTGAATCAATGGCTGTACACTACTTTCACTGTAAAGCATATAGAAATTAGGACATCAGTGTGGTAGAACCATGCTTGAGCTCGCTCGTAGACTGTAATATGATGACGTTTTACTTCTATCAGTACGATCCACTATCTGCTATCTCTAGAATCGATAGCCGCGAAAGCGGTCAATCAGGTGGTAAAATACGTCTATCATGCGGAGTGACGTCATGCTGTAAGTGCTCCAACTATTTCTCTGTCTAGACTCTACGTGTACGGTATATGTATTCAACATTTTTAGATGGAGTGTTAATTTGGGTCATATTTGATAGAAACCACATAATTCACAATATAATATTCCTCTTGAATGTACTCCGTACAAGCATATCTAATAAATCATTTCCTCTTCATAATCCCATTCTCAAAAGACCAAGAAAATAACAATCAGTGCTTCACCTCACCCAAGGACTCGCCCAATGCTTGGCCATTGACAATGACCGGCTTGGCATCCATGGCAATATACAAGGCGCGCGCAAACTGGGTCTTGCTCGGGTTGCGCCAGCAGTGGTTGGTACCTCTCTGCACGGCAACATCGCCCCTCTTCATCAAACGCTTCTCGCCGCCCTCCACCTCGAGCTCGAGCTCGCCCTCGATGACCACTCCGAAGTCAACGGTCACCGTGCGATGCCACATGGGCTCACAGCCTGGGTGGTAGTCGACGTAGCGCACGACGCGCCGCCGGGGATCATGAAGGGAGGGTGGTTGACGAGGTGTTCTTTGTATTGGTTCAGGTCGGCATCGTGGCTGAGGGGAGCGGGAAAGCTGCTGAGCGTGTAGGCGAGGAAGAAATCGACGCCGATGTTGGTGCGTTCCCATTCGATTGGCTCGGGGACTTTGGTCTCGAAGGTGGGGGTTCCGTCCTCCTTGTGGGTCGTGATGAAGCGGTGGACTTGGGGGAAGTCTTTCTCAGGAAGGGAGCCCATCTTGAAGGTTGGTTTTTTTGTGTGGTTTGAGGGGGTTGATTGTTGAGTAGTTGAGTAATTGAGTATTTGATTGTTTGCTTGTGGTGAGTTGAATTGGATTGCAATCCGCCATGATTGGGATGTTATTTATGTCTCCCATGGTTTGCACGGTGTCGGTCGTCGGAGGACGATGGTTCGGAAGCTTGTTGTCTGCTCGGCGGCGATTGAACCGTGGGCGGAGGTCGGCGCCCGAGCCCCGCATGCCTTATGCAAGCATTGACGTGCGTGAGTAATCCAGGACCCGTTGCTCATGTAATTCGTATTAGCTGAGAAATCTTTTTCCTTTCTTTGTCATTTCTTGTCACTTCATGATGTTTTAGTTTAGTTATTATGCTGCCGTCTTCTGAAGTCCATGTTGGGAGGGGTTCTCTATCGCTGAGGCTTTCTTAGGGTTAGAACTTAGGGTTTCGCTGCCCACTTCCGTCTACTACTCGACGTCAGCACTCTACTTTTCCTTTCCCTCTAAAATAATCTCATGAAAATACTTTCGAAGGATCCTTCCTGATCGCCGCGGTAGAATGGCCCTTATCGATGGCCCTTGGTATCTACCAACCAAATTGAGCCCTCAACCAACAAAACACAATGACTACTGAGTCGATTTGTTTCAGTACTACTCTAGTGCTTATGCTTGGAAAAAGTCAAATGAGAAAGCCGGTGACGGTATAATTGAATCTATGAAAAAACACCTCCAAAAGGTATCCACCTCCATGAGGAATGGATCAAGAATAGTCTGACAAAAATCTAAAAATATCTATGAAAGAAGAAAAGAAGGGGAGCGAAAGGAAGAAGAGAAAAAATAAATAGAAAAAGAAGGGAAAAAGAAGAAATTTACATAGGAAAGGAAAAGGAGGGAAAGAAGAAAAACAATCACAAATCCCACTCTTACTGCAGAGCAGGGCCAGTCAAGTTCAGCTTGGCTCGTGCCACAGCGCCATGGCCAACGATCCACAGCTCATCCAAGTTCTTGCCACCAAAGACCGTGTTCACAGCGGTGAAATTAGTCTGGATGCTCACCAATGGTGTGCCAGTGGGATCAAGGATATCGACACCTTTACCCGCGCCGGTAATCACATATCCGTTGCTAGCCACCTTCAGACCGTCAGGAACAAAGTCCTTGGCCGTGTGGATCGGTCGGCGGTTCTTCAGGTACGAGCCGTCCTCGCTCACATCGAATGCGTAGACTGTGCGTCGGTTGGTGGAGTTGTATTGGAGCGATGGCACCTCGCTCAATGGCACTTTCGGGTCAATCATGGTGACACCGGCGTCAGTGTCCGTGAGGTAGAGTGTTTTGTAGTCGGGGGAGAAAGCAACACCATTGGGACAGTGCAATGTGTCATCTACGATCTTGACTTCCCCGGTTGCTGGGTCGTACCGATAGACTGAGGCCTGGACCTGAGGGGCGAATGTTGAGGTACCGAAGTTGCGGGCGAGGACTATAGCTGAATCAGTATGGGCGCAAATGAGATCCCAGGACCAGGAACGTACAAGGATCACTAAACCAGATGCGACCGTGCTGGTCGATATCCATGTCGTTGGCCTGGATGGAAAGTTAGCCCGTGAAACCCACTAAGCGTGTATCGGGTACTGTCGGTGGGCATGCTTACCTGGTTGAAGTACCATCCAAAATAGTTGTTGACTTCAATGGTCGATTTGCGGGTTTTGGGATCCACCGAGTAGATTCCAGGATGATAAGGACCCCCTTCCAGAGTGGAATTGCCACCGCCAACAGAGAAATAGATCTTTCCATTCCTGTAGCGGGCCCCGGATGGAGCGTACATAGGTGGGTCGGTCAGAATTGTTGAGAGGGTCGGGGAATCACCATCCAGACTGATGACCTTCTGGTGGAGCTCCCCTCTACCTAATTCAGAGAACCACACCTCGTTGGTGTCGGGGACGTATACGGGTGCCTCGTGCCCGCCAGTGGAGACAGTAAACATAATATCATACACCGGGTCGGATCCTAGGATCTCGCTACCACGCTGTTGGTCCCAGACGAGGAATGTGGCTTTGCCAACCTGCTGGAACGAGTCGTCACCGGACACCTCGGTCGACGTGTAAGTGTCCACGCTACTCATGTCGGTGCTGGCCTTGCGGTAGAAGTCAAGGGGCATCTTCGATGCATATCGGTACATGCAGGCGACACGTGGGAAGCTGTAGCCGGTGCAGGCTTGAACCAGGGGGGTGGAAGTATTCCCGGCAGATGCTAGCGGGGCTATGCATAGCGCGAGGGAAACCAATCGCAATGATAGATGCATGATGAAACACGTGGGAGTTTCGCGGAAAGTTCTTGAGATACACACTGGAGGAGTTGATGTTGATACTACCCAAATGAGCTGAGAAACTACCCACTACTTATACTTCGTCTTCTGTCTCCTGAATGACAGACTCAGGTCCAGCTGAAGTATAACACTGCCTTCCAATCTCCTGTTGGGGGCCGAATCCTTCATCATCTTACGTTCGAGATGAGATGCGTCGCGGCTCGAGCACTATGTTAGACTCGCGCCAATGCATCAACCACATGGCAGTCCACGTTGTGCCAGGGGCTAGACAGGGGTGGCCTGAAATGCAGAAATCCTGCAGGATTCTGCAGGATTCTGTGACACAACTCAAATTAGGCTGACGATTTGCGATGCGTGGCGTCGGAGGAAGTAGGTTGTTCGGAGAAAGTATGTCGTTCGGAGCAACGACGCCGCTTCGTATCCGCGTGTCGCTCGCCGAGACCCCGTCCATGACGCTCCGCCTTACGCAGGTCCACCAAGCTCGTTGAACGTACGCAAAGACACAGAGTCCGCGTATGGTACTCCCCAATGTAGCCTCATCGCGCAAAGAGACATGCTGACATGCAGACATACTCCGACAGCTGCTTCATGGGACCGCCGTCGGATGAGATGGACAATATGGCATGATTCTACGTTGAAATGTAGACATAAATAGCGTTGTAGTTGCCATCGATTTGCTCTCATCATCAGCACGACAAGAATCAGAGCATAGCAATCAGACAAACAACCGACTCAAACTCAATCTTAATTACCAATCTTCAATTTTCACAAGATGCACTCCACCAAGGTCACCTACCCCGAGCCTATGCAGCTCACGGGCATCCTCGATCAATACGAGTCCTTCCAGGTTACACCCTGCATTGGCACTGAGTTCCCCAAGGCGAACTTGGCTGAATGGCTCTCCTCGCCCAATGCCGATGCTCTGTTGCGCGACTTGGCCATCACCAGTAAGTACCGCCATATCTCGCAGCAAAACGATTGGAGATACTAACCAATCATTGTAGTCGCGCAACGAGGCGTCGTCTTCTTCCGTGCACAGACTGGCCTGGACGGAGAACTCCAGAAGGAACTCACCCATCGTTTGGGTGTGCAGTCCGGCAAGCCAGCAGGCCACCGTCTGTCCAAGCACCCTCTCCACCTCATCCGCAAGGATGACCCTGAAATGGGTATCCTTGACCCAGGCCGCCAGCAGAAGCTGCACGCCGTCGAGAACAGCCAGAAGCGCCAACGCGCCGTCCTGGAGTACCACAGCGATGGCTCCTATGAAGTCTGCCCCCCTGACTTTACCATGCTTCGCATGACCGAAATCCCCCCCACCGGTACGCTACCCACTATCAATCTATTGCACTTCATTCACTGACGAATCAAGGTGGCGACACCCTCTGGGCCTCTGGATATGAGCTCTACGACCGTCTCTCAACCCCTTACCAGAAGTTCTTCGAGTCTCTGACCGCCCAACACGAGGTTCCCTCCCTGCGCAAGCTGGCTGAAACCGAGCCCGGCATCTATGATGGCCCTCGTGGCGCACCCGCCAACACCGACATGCAATTCAAGCAGTCTCACGTACGTAGCCTGTCCTCAAATTGAACCCCCTGGGATTCCATCTAACTATCCATAGCCCATGGTCCGCACCCACCCCGTAACAGGCTGGAAGACCCTCTTCGCAGGTGGCCTCCACTGCCGCCGCATCAACGACGTCACCGACTTCGAGAGCGAGCAGCTCCTGAGCAAGATCATCTCTCTGGTCGGCGACAACCACGACCTGCAAGTCCGCTTCCGCTGGAACAACCCCGGCGACGTTGGTGAGTAAATCCTTCGACCCATACTTAAACACCGTGTCTGACGTCGATAGCCATCTGGGACAACCGCTGTGTCCTGCACTGTCCTACCCAGGACCACTACGGTCTCGGAGGCCGCATGGGATACCGCACCATGGGTATTGCCGAGCAGCCTTACTTCGACCCTAACAGCGTTTCTCGCCAGGAGGCTTTGGCTGCCGCTGCTAAGTGATTGCGCAACGCCAATGTCTGATCTAGATTTGGTTGTGCACTTGTTTTGGCTTGCCTCGCGGTGATTTAGAATGATTTGTTTGGTTTTGTTTGTCGATTGGCCTGATGAATGTTGCGATATGTTGATTTCATAGACTTTGCATAGAATGAGAACAAGTGCTTTTATCTTTTGAAGTTTGAATATAGTTTTTTTTTCCGTATAGACAGTAGTACTTCTTTTGCACGTAGATCCGAGGAAGTCTGTGCAGTCATGGTTCATCTAGTTCAGTTTCTTCCTTTGGGCTCTCGCTACTAGCACTATACTGTTCTCATTGATAAAGGAGCAGAGATATCCGATTTAAGCGAGGTAGCAGATATTCGTATGTATGATGGCCACATGGCGTTATCTTCGGAGTCTAATATGAGCACGAGAGGCTACTTCCCGTCGTCGCGCAACGAGTGAGAGTCAAATTAGCAAACAACCGAAATGAAGTTCTACTTCGAAATGATCAAACACCAACATAATCCATGCAAGGGCTTGACGATTGCTAAATAAAGGGTGTTATGCTTGGTGTTCCAGCGTGGCATAGAAGTAGCAGTGTTTGACAGTGTGGAATAACGTCGTGCGTGGACATGCCTGAATGGACGAAATTGATCTCAATGAAGACGAGGAGGAGGCTATAAGATTTCGTAGACAGCGAAACTGATACGATCTACTTTCAAAGATGTGCATCAATTTAAGGAAACGAATAGTGTCAGGCCGAGTAGCTTGACTTAGTAGCTCGACGACACACTTCCAGAGCATTGAGTAGGATATATATCACCTGGGGAGAGTAGAAGAGGGCGGTTACATATTTTTAATTTCTCGTGGATGTAGAAAAAAAATATAAACAAATAAATCAGTAAACAAAACAATCATGGCATAGTCTATAGAAGAACTGTATTTGCAAAGGATCATTCTAAACAGAAAGAAACACACAACACAAGCAGGTTATAACCCCAACGCAGCCCTTCACCAGGAGCCTTTCCTCCCTCATCATCTCTCGTGAACCTACTTTTAATCAAAGAGCCGTCTACATCTCCTCAAGAATGCCGCTCCGTTTTCGCAGAACTGCCCCATACCGCCACAGGAGAACCGGAACAAGCCCGCCCATCACCAAAGCCCAAAGCGCCAGCAAGGAACTACCCCATCCATACCCAAGCGTTCTATAGATCAAGGGAGCCAGGATAGGCAAAACAAAGCCCAGCAGCGAGCGCAGGATCGTCAGGGCGCCCATCGCCGAGGCTGCGTACACCGCATAGCAATCCAGTACATAGGCCTGAATACACTGGTAACTCATTATCAGACCAAGGGCGTAGATGCCGATTCCGATATTGGGGATGATCCAGTGGCTGTGTGTCTGGGCGGACCAGCCGTAGATTAGTAGGCCGGCGGGGACGAGAAGGGCGGCTGGGAGCATGAGGATTGTTCGAAGCTCTGGGGTTCCTTTTGCGGGATCTTTGGAGGTGTAGTAGATGTAGATCTGCGAGAGTTAGATATCTGGATGGACTAGAATGGGGACAGGAAGGGGTACCCGGTCGTTGAGAGAGCCTGTGATTTGACTTCCGAGGATGAATCCACCAGCGATGGAGATGTAGTTCAGTGCTGCACGGGATGGGGTTTGGTTGTAGATGTCTGTCCAGACGGACTCGAATGTTGTGATGGATAGATGGTTGAGGCCAAAGAGATAGCCCATGAAGAGGGATAGGACTTGTATGATGGGCTGGGTTCCGAGGAATGTAAAGGGTCGTCGGAGATCCTGTCTGAAAACATCTGCTAGGCTCTTATGGTGCAGTTGTGGAGAGCCTTGCTGGTCACCTTTGCGGACTGCAGCAGCTTGTTTCCGCTGTATGAGGACTGGCCGGAAGGTCTCGCGAAGGATGCAAAGACCTAGCACCCATGTGACGAAGATGTAAAGTGAACACCACGCGAAGATTGCCCGCCATGACGTGTGGGACACGATGTATGCACCTGTGATGGGCGCGATGGCGGGACCCAGCAGGGGCCCAAGGGTGTAAAGGGAGATGGAAAGGCCTCGCTCTTCTGGAGCCCACAGGTCTCCGATGATCCCTGCGCCGATCTATTTGATTCATTAGCGATCGCCGTGTATGACTGGATGCTACCCACCGACAGCGGAGCGCTACCAACGGCTCCTGTGATGAACCGGAGAATGAGTAACTCGTAATCACTACGGGCGAACGCGCACAGGGCGTTGAAGACCAGGAACAGGCCGTGGCCGGTATTCAACAACGAGATGCGCCCGTAGACTTCGGACAAGGGACCGACAACCAGGGGAGCGAAGCTCCACCCGAGAACATACACAGAAACAAAGGCTTGCAGCATTCCTGGGTCGGTAACATTCAAGTCGGTGGCTATCTGGGGCATGGCGGGCACGATGATTGCTGCGATGACCGGACTGATCAATCCATAGATCGAAATCACGGCAATACATAGCCAGCGGTATGACACTGTCCAATTGCGAGGCTCTTCCCACTCTTCCAAGTCTTTCAGGGAAGGGGAAGAGTCCTGGGGGCATTAGTTTTACAAACGACTAGACGCTGGGTGACAGACTTACATCGGACTGGGACAGCAGTCGTGTTCTCTCGTTTACTTCTTCGGCCATGACGCTCCGTGATTTGGACACAGATTGTACAATTGTCTGTAGGCTTGTAAGAGAGGTTATTGAATAAATATTTACGCCCAAACTGCCATTAGCTGGGAATAGGGAGGTGGCCAGGAATTGTATGAAACGGCGTAATGTACTGTGACTAGAGACTACGACAGAACTATCTATATAATCTTGCCCAAGCATCCGGAGTAGAAGGACCGATGTGAAAAGCTGCTGTGTGTCGGACGCGATCCCCGAGAGAATGTCAGCGCTAGACCCGAGTACGAGCAGGCGAGGCACGGTAGAGATGCAGGTGGACCCTTCGGAGGACACTGGAAGATTTTCGACTCTAGCGCTCAATATTATCGACCATCCACAATTCTCCGAACAATCCAAAAATTCCCGAACATAGCTTATGGTTCGGGTTGAGGCACGTCAAGCAAGAAATGTTTAATTCAACTATCTGTCTACTGCAAGAACGCCGTCGCCGAATAAGTGGAAAGGAAACATAAAAAAGAAAAAAGAAAAGAAAAGAAAACAAAGGGTTGGAATATACAAGAACACTCTAAAACTCGTGTGTCAAACTTGTTATCCAACAGGCCGGAGGGAGTTCAGTAGATAGAATCACTCGTCCATGGACTTGTTCAAGTCACCAGTATAGATCTGACCGGGGCGCCAGATTCTTGGGGGATTGCCTACGCCCGTGTCAGTAAGATGCTTCGGAAATGATCAGGGTAGAGTCTAGCATACCCATGGCCTCCCTCCAGTGGGCCATAAATCCTTGTGTACGAGAGAGGATCGACAGAGGCAGGATGAATTCGGGCGGGAAACCACTAAAACGCAGGATTAACACCACTATACTCCGAAGACCACGGGAAAAAGGAACATACAGAGCCTTGTAGACAAACGCGGCGAACAGATCTGCGTTGGGGCGGAGATTCCTGGACGTGAAGTACTCATCTTCGGAGGCAACACGGTCGACTTCGAACGCAACCTTCAGCAATGGGTCCTTCTCGACTTCCTCGGACAGCTCATTGAGAATTTGGCGAATGAAGACAAATCGAGGATCCGTCACACGGTATACTCGGTGGCCGTAACCATACAGACGCTCCTTGCCTGCCTTGACTCGTGCGATCTTAGCAGGTACATTGGCGATGGAGCCAATGCTCTCAATGTTCTTGTAAGCCACTTCAATGGCTCCGCCATGTAGAGGACCGTACAGTGCCGAGATGGCGGAGACCATGCAGGAGATGACATCCGGTAGGGCGGATGCGGTTTGCAGAAGGGCGGCGGTGGAGCAGGTCATTTCATGATCGGCAATCAGTACCCAGAGTCGCTCAATGGCATTCACGTATCGCGGATTTGGCAGACCCGTGGTCTCCTCAACATGACCAGTCATGAGCAGGAAGTTCTCGATGTACGAGAGCCCCGAGCGGGGTGGAGTGAAGTCGCGTCCGATGTGATGGCAGTATGCCGCCGCGGTCAACATAGACATGTTGGCCATGACCCGAATGATTTGCTGGTCGGCCAGCTCGGGATTATTCAAATAGATGGTCTTTCCCACATGAGCGGGGATCGCCTCCATATCACTGGACTGGAGTGCTGATAGACCGGCGATGACCATTCCCATAAGGGAACCATCTCGTCTGTTGAAGGTCAGCAGGGAGCACACATTGGAGAGATAATCTTGGAGAAGCCATACGGAAAGGATTTGATCACATTGAAGACAAACTCCTCAGGGACTGGAACCTGGTCGAGGCGCTGTTGAAGGGTTTCGGCCTCGGCGGCGGAGGGCCAGTGGCCCCAGATCAACAGATGCGCGGTATCGATAAACGTCTTGCGTCCGACGATGTCGTTGATGGAGTACCCACGGTACTGGATGGTACCCTTGAGTCCATCGATATAGGTGATCTTACTGTGACTCACGGCGGTGTTGGAGTAGCCTGGGTCGTAAACCCGCAGCCCATTCTCCGTCTGGTTGGCAGGGTAGGCTTTATCTTCTGGTGCGGTGACCTTCTTCAGATCGCTGGCATTGATGGCATTGTTTTGAATGGGAATCGAGTAATAGGACCCAGTGCGGTCATCAATAATGTGTAGCGCTTCCCGCTTGGGCGAAGTCTCTTGGATGACGGTCATGATGGATGGGTTTAGTAGCAATGAAAGGCGATGAGGATGTAATTGGGAGTCTATTTGTCGAGGTCTAGTAGTCTCAACCGGCCGTATTTATGTCATCAGAGTAGACAAGTGTATAGCCATGAATCGGAACAATAATGTGCCCGACTTATACAGCAATGTAACTCGGATCTATAATGAATACGGGTTGGGAATGGCCTCGTGTGTGGATCTCGGCCAACGGCGGCCGATGCGCGATCCAACGACCTCCGGGGGGGTTCAGGGCCCGCTGTACGATAATCAGCCGTACCACTCTTATCTCAGGTTCGAGGCGGCTCCAAGGCCTATGGACAATGCATAAGCCATGATCCTTCCTGGCCCGTGTACCGGGGATTTTGGCTCTACCATACGCCGGCTCGCTCTGGCTACGTCGTTCCCACGGGAGCGCTGTACATGTGGCAATAAAAGGCCGATGGCACCGAAAGATGTTGCAAAAAGCCAAAAGATAACGTTATCTTTAGTGTCACCTTTATATTGTGAAGAATTCTATTTAGATGTTCATGCCCCATACCTTTAATATAATCACTTCTTTCTTGACATAGCCACACCAACAACTAGGACGACGGTCACGACAACAAACACGACAGCCACGCCAGCAGCAAACTCTATTCATTCTACAACAGCAATGGTTCAACGCAAGGAGCCACCGTCAGAGCAGCTTAGAGCCTACACATTACTCATTGAACTCTTGTCGTATGTGCCCTATCCCTGGAAACGTGTAACATGCTAACATATCATAGCTACCAATTTGCCTTTCCCGTTCGATGGTGAGACTTTCTCGTCGCCAAGATCACATCTACAAGCTGACATGGATGACCAGGATTGAGACACAAAATGATCTTATCCAGCGGAATAATACTATCCAGCGCTTCATTGAAGTGGGACCTTCCAATGTCTTAGCGAACATGGCGAAGAAGACTGCCAAGGGCCAGTACGGGGAAGAGGACCTGGTGCGCTGCATAGACCGTCAGTACCTATCGCACGCCGACGATGCCCAGCACATCTACTACCATTATGATGACGAGCCACCGGTGGAGAGCACTAATGATGAGCCGGCCCAACCGGTTGCTTCCTCCACCCCCGCGCCGGCACCAGTAGCCGTGCCTGCTGTGGCAGTCCAAGCAGCCCCCCAGCCAGCTGCCCAGCAAGCCGCCGCCGTGCCAGATGTCGACTTGAGCCCAATCGACGTTGTCATTTCCATAGTGGCTCAGAAGATCCGCAAAGCCTTTGATGAGGTACCTGCGGCTAAGTCTATCCGCGATCTATCTGCTGGTATGTTCTGTGTCTATGGCTGCCCATTGTCTGTTCGCTCTAACCCGGTTAGGTAAATCCACATTGCAGAATGAGCTCATCGGACAGCTAGATGCAGAATTTCGCGGTCTGCCGGAGGGAAGTGAAGATCTCACGCTGGAAGCGCTGGCCACCCACTTCACGAATTTCTCTGGACAACCGGGAAAGGTGATGGGCGGACATGTGGATCGCCTCGTGGCTGCCCGTATGCCTGCAGGCTTCAATCAAGCCAAAATACGGGAATATCTCTCCTCAAACTGGGGGCTAGGTGCCAACCGGCAGACCGCCGTCTTATGCTTTGCAGTCACAATGGAACCAGCTGCCCGTCTTGCAGACGCCGGTCAGGCAACCCAATTCCTAGACTCAGTGGTTAGCCGGTACGGCGGAAAGGCCGGTGTAACTTTACAGAAGAGGGCGGAGGGCGCCGCTTCACAGACGTCTGCTGTGGCCCAGGTCGACCTGGCTAGCATCGAAGCCCTCAAGAAAGATCAAAATGAGTACTTACACAAGCAGTTCCAGCTCCTGGCCAAGCATCTAGACTTGGATGGTGTGGCAGAGCCCAGTCAAGTACAGGTGCAAGGAGAGGAAGCTGATAAGCTGGCTGAATGGGACGCAGAGTTTGATGAAGAGTTTCTCACTGGCATGCGCACAATCTTCGACCCGCGGAAGGCTCGTCGGTATGATTCATGGTGGAATACGGCCCGAGAGGACCTCATCGCTTTGTTGCACGACATCCGTCCTGTTACCGAGGACAAGGCCTCGCAGCGATACCAAAGCCTTGTGAACCGATGGTCACCGGAGTTGGAACAGATGCTGGACCAAACTGCCCAGGATAACAACATCAAGGAGAAGGCTGAGAAGCTGATCAAAGATGTTCGCGCTTCGGGCGTAGCCAATGGCCCCGTATTCCGTTATGCCCAGCCTGCTATGGCACCCGAGACAAAGGTTGATGCCAATGGGCGCATCCAGTACTCTGAGGTTCCTCGCCGCCAGGCAACGGTGGCAAGAATGTCTCCACCTTGAACTACGCACAGGTGGTTGCAGCTCCACACCGCAACGTGCCGTATGCGCACCTTCGCAGTCGAGCCGGCGTAGATTGGACGTATGACGCACAGCTTACCGACACGTTTCTGAATATCCTATCCACTGGAGTCTCTAGCGGACTTTCATTTGCTGGAAGAAGAGTGTTGGTGACCGGTGCTGGAGTTGGATCCATTGGAGCAGACATCGTGGCCGGATTGCTGGCCGGTGGAGCGCGCGTCATCGTCACCACCAGTCGTCAGCCTTCAGATGTCGCTGCATCCTTCCGCCAGCTCTATGCGAAGGTCGGTGCACCCGGATCAGAATTGATTGTGCTGCCCTTCAACCAAGCGAGCAAGCGTGACTGCGAGGATTTAATCACCCACATCTACGACGAGCAGTCTGGATATGGATGGGATCTCGACTTTATCATCCCCTTTGCGGCCATCTCCGAAATCGGGCGACAGATTGACAAGATAGACTCCAAGTCAGAACTGGCCCATCGTGCCATGTTGGTTAATCTGCTCCGGTTGTTGGGATGCATTAAACAGCAGAAGGAGAAACGGGGCTTTGATTGTCGCCCGACAGGTGTCGTGCTGCCCTTGTCTCCTAACCATGGTAACTTCGGTGGAGATGGATTGTATTCCGAGTCGAAACTGGGACTGGAGACCCTCTTTAATCGCTTCCATTCTGAGGGCTGGTCAGAGTTTCTCTGCATCATTGGTGCCGTGATCGGCTGGACCCGCGGCACGGGCTTGATGAGTGCGAACAATATCGTCGCCCAGGGTATGGAGGACTCCTTGGACATTCTGACATTTTCGGCCCCAGAGATGGCGTTCAACATCTTATCTCTTCTCTCAGGAGATATACTTGAAGTGGCCGATGACAAGCCAATTTATGCAGACCTGAGCGGAGGCCTTCAAGGGGTCAGCGACCTCAAGGAGAAGATTTCGGGAATCCGGAAAAAGATTGTCTCGCAAAGTCGGATCCGTCAGGCCCTAGTCGCTGAGAATCTGCATGAGCAAAAGGTTCTTCTAGGAACCAAGCCTGCTGAGGATACTGTCCAGCCTCCTCTGAAACGCCGCTCTAACATCGAGCCCGCCTTCCCGCCTCTGTCAAACTACAGCTCTGTAACCGCTGGACTCCAGTCCTTGCAGGGCATGATTGATCTATCTCGCACCGTAGTAGTGGTGGGCTATTCAGAGCTTGGCCCCTGGGGGTCTGCGCGTACGCGCTGGGAGATGGAGCACGGCGGTCGACTGTCCCTGGAAGGATATACAGAATTGGCATGGATGATGGGCCTCATTAAGCATTTTGACGGTGACCTTAAAGGCAAGCAATACGCCGGGTGGGTGGATTCCAAGACGAAGGAACCGGTGGACGAGGCAGATATCGAGGAGAAATACGGCCAGCATATCTTGGGCCATGCCGGCATCCGGGTTATAGAACCTGAGCTGTCGGAGGGATATGATCCTGCCCAAAAGGAGATCATGCACGAAGTCGTTATTGACGAGGACCTTCCTCCCTTTGAAGCCCCCCAGGGTGTCGCCCAAGCATTCAAGCTGCGTCACGGTGATAAGGTCGCCTTGATGCCGATTGAAGGCTCCGAATCTGTCAAGGTCGTGGTCAAGCGTGGAGCTGTCTTCATGGTACCCAAGGCCATGGCATTCAATCGATTTGTCGCCGGTCAGCTCCCATCCGGGTGGGATCCAACTCGGTACGGTATTCCTGAGGACATCGTCTCCCAGGTGGACCCCATGACCGTCTATGTTCTATGCTGCGTATCCGAGGCCATGTATAGTGCTGGACTGGAGGATCCCTTTGAGCTGTACCGCCACATCCACGTATCCGAGTTGGCCAACTGCGTCGGCACTGGGGCCGGAGGTTTGCTGGCTATGCGTGGCGTGTATCGGGACAGATATCTTGACCGGCCTGTGCAAAGCGACATTTTGCAGGAATCCTTCCTCAACGCCATGAATGCCTGGACTAATATGCTGTTGATGGGAGCTGCAGGCCCCATCAAGTCACCCTCAGGCACATGCGCGACCTCTGTGGAATCCATGGATATAGCCTGTGAAGCAATTCAGACACTCAAGGCCAAGGTCGCTATTGTTGGTGGCTCCGACGACTTCCAGGAAGAGATGTCCTATGAGTTCGGGAATATGAAGGCCACGGCAAACGCAGAGGACGAGTTGGAGAAGGGATACCTCCCTTCGGAAATGTCTCGTCCGACAGCATCCTCTCGCAGTGGATTCGTTGAGTCCGCTGGTTGCGGTATCCAACTGGTTATGAGCGCCGAGTTAGCTCTACAAATGGGTCTCCCAATTTATGGAATTGTCGCCTATTCTCAGATGGCAGGCGACAAGGTCGGCCGGTCTGTACCTGCACCCGGCCAGGGCGTACTCACCGCCGCCAGGGAAAGCATCGACGCGGTGCAGTCACCGTTATTGGATCTGCAATACCGCAAGGCAAGGTTGGATGAAGTTGTTTCGGAGATCAAGAGTTGGCGACACAAGGAGTCCCAGAAGCTCATCGCGTCCGCAACTTCTCAGGAGTTCAAAGATCTCGATGCGCACCTACAGCATATCAACAACATCGCCGCGTCTCGTATTCGGGATGCTCAGTGGACATGGAGCAATAACATCCGTCATATCGATCCCACCATTGCTCCCATGCGCGCCGCCCTAGCAACATGGGGGTTGAGCGTCGACGACATTCAAGTGGCGTCATTCCACGGCACATCGACGAAGGCGAACGACAAGAATGAGAGCAACGTAATCAACCAGCAAATGACCCACCTGTCGCGTACGGTGGGCAACCCACTTCTAGTCATATGTCAGAAGTCCCTGACAGGCCATCCAAAGGGTGCTGCAGGCGCGTGGATGTTCAATGGTTGTCTCCAGGCTCTCCAAACTGGTATCGTACCCGGCAACAGGAATGCGGACAATGTCGACGTTGCACTCCAACAGTTCAAGCACCTGGTGTATCCATCGCAGACTATCCACACGTCAGGGATTAAGGCTTTCATGTTGACATCATTCGGCTTTGGACAAAAGGGAGGCCTCGTTGTCGGCGTTGCCCCTCGCTATCTCTTCTCCAGCATCACGGCCAATCGGTTTGAAGAGTATCGGGAACGGGTGCTTCAGCGCCAGCAAAAGATTGTCCCCGTGTTCCAAAAGCGCATGGCCGAGGGTCGTCTCTTCCAGATCAAAGATCATTCAGCTTGGACTAGTGATCAAGAAAAAGACGTCTTCCTTGATCCCCTGGCGCGTGTCTCCCAGAAGCTACTGGTGAATACAGCTTTCCAACGACACTTTCCTCAGTTGCATCGCTCCAACTCGCAAAAACTGTTTCCGACGACAAACAGCTTTTCGCCAGGTCTTCTGATCAATGGCTACGTGACAGCATAAGCAAGGAGCAGGGCAATGTGTCCGTCGGTGTAGATATCGAGTCCATCTCGAGCGTCAATATCGAAGATGAAATATTCTTGGAACGCAATTTCACGCCGGCGGAGATCAAGTACTGCCAAGGTAGCCCAGATAAACAAGCGAGTCTTTCAGGGCGCTGGGCAGCCAAGGAGGCGATCTTCAAGAGCCTGCAGATACCATCCGAAGGCGCAGGCGCTCCGATGCGCGATATTGAAATTGTCAGCAACGGTGCGCAGCCTCCAACCGTCCTAGTAAGTACACTTAAGTCGTTGCCGCTTTTTCTGTCGTCATAGCTGACCATTATTTAGCTTCATAATCGGGCCAAATTGGCTGCCGATGCTCAGAAGGTCGAAGAGGTCCAAGTTAGCATCACACACTCCCCAGAGAGTGCCATGGCTATTGCTTTAGCCCGACGTCGGTTATAGAAGCGGTCTTATTTTATTTCATGTTTTCAGAATGTTTATATGGAGTTTGTTGTATTGTTTAGATATAGAATGTGATACATGAATAGAATTGTGCTTTGGTCTAACGTCTTGGAGAATAGGGCAATAGACGTAGGATCGACGCTGATTCTACATCGTTAAACACTGCGCAATCATCTCGGCTTACCCGCCAAACCACTGTATACGCAGGTACCCTAAGGCTACTACATCTTCGAAACCCAGCGGCATGGAAGTGGTGGGAATCTCACGAGTCCTATGTGAGCGACTGATGCGTCCATTCTCTATGCTGATACATTACTCAGACTCTTGATCCCTCAAACACTGTGACCACAGCAAACCCTATGCAGCAGGTTACATGGTTTAATAACTTGCATGCATCATTGTCAAAGCGTTCTCTACTTCGCTAGGATCTGAACTCCGGATTCTGACTATGGATACCCATCATCATATTTAATTAGACCTTCTTAATCCACTCAATCTCGTCTCCCATGTGTCTGTTCGCCCGTAGGTCGCCAGAACGCGCATGCGCCTCGAATCTCTCAGCCCGTGCAGCTCGTCCACACAAACGGCCGAGCTTTCCACTGGCTTCCGATGAGGTCACTTCTTGGTATGTGCATGTTTTCAGATACTTCCCAACCCACAGACCACCAGTGTATCGAGCGGTTGTCCGAGTCGGCAGAACATGGTTCGTGCCGATCACCTAGCATCATGTGTAAGTGTCCCATCAGGATTTCATGCCTTCATCGTCCAGCTTTGCGAGTACTCACCTTGTCGCCATATGACACGCATGTGTTCTCTCCAAGGAACAACGCCCCGTAATTAGACATTTTCTCCAACGCATCCCTGGGATTCTTCGTAAACACCTGCACATGTTCGCTTGCGTAGTGGTCACCCAGCTCCCAGAGCTCCTCCATAGTATCCACAACAATAACCTCTCCAAACGCATCCCACGAAACCTTCGCCACATCTGCGGTCGAGAGGTCCGACGCAGAAAGCAGCTTGTTCACGATCTCAATCGTCTCCCGCCCAACCTTAGGACACGTCGTGATCAAGACAGCGGGTGTATCCGGCCCATGCTCAGCCTGAGAGATCAAGTCCGTGGCCACCGTGAACGGGTCGGCCGTCTCGTCCGACAGGATGAGGATCTCGGTGGGACCCGCGAAGAGATCAATACCGACTTCACCAAACAGCTGTCGTTTACCCTCGGCCACGAATCGGTTCCCGGGACCAGCCAGAAAATCCACCTTACGGATTGTCTCGGTACCCACGGCCATGGCAGCCACGGCTTGCACGCCGCCCAGGAGGAAGATCTCGTCTGCTCCCGCCAGGTGCATAGCTGCAATCGTGCTATGCGGAATCTCGCCGTTGATAGGGGGTGTGCAGCCAATGACATGCTTAACGCCGGCGACTTTCGCTGTGAGGATTGTCATGTGTGCCGATGCGAGGAGTGGGTAGCGGCCGCCTGGGATGTATCTATACTCGCGTGATAACGTTAGACATCTATCATGAGAATCACTATGGAGTAGCGGGATATCTGAAGGGAAACATGATAATAACATACGCGCCGACGGTATTAATCGGCACATTCTTTTGCCCGAGGTGCACTCCCGGCTGAATTTCAATTTCGAAATCTTTCAACGAGCCCTTCTGTGCCTCTGCGAAGGCCCGCACGTTTCGCTGGACCTCGTTGATATCGGCGATGGTTTGCTCAGGACACATGGCTATCGCAGCCTCGATGTCTGCTTCGGATAGCTTGAAGCTGTCTGGCGCCCATTTGTCGAATTTCGCGGAGTATTTTCTAACAGCAGCGTCGCCGTCTGCGCGCACGGCGCTGATCACCTCTTCGACGACGGCGGATACGTCGACTGAGGGTGATTGCGTATGGTCTGAGGGAGCGGCGCGGGATTTGAGATACTGTCGAGCCATGCTTGTTACTTTTAAATACGGTTCAGGAGTGACAGGTTTTAAATTGTACTATACAGAATGATACCTACCTTTGCTCATGTTGCTGTGCTCATGGGATTTATATGCATACTAGGACCAGAATGATATATCGCACTTCGTTGCGAGAAGATCTTCATATTGCATCGCTGCGAAGGCCGAGAGTACCCGAGTCGAAGCTACAGATCGGACAAGTGGGCCGAGTGAGGTAGTATTCGGCTCGATTCCCATTCTTAGGATCTGTAGTATGACCGCAATTGTGGGGCAGCGTTCCCCAATACATGGTCCTTAGGGCGTCTGTATGTTCGGCGAGTAGGCCGATATCTGCGGCTCTCTCTTGTTTCGGCCGTCTGGCCGCTATCGGCAGATACGAGTCTGTAAGTATCTCTTACGCCCTAGCCAGGATATTCCACGTTTCCAATATGCATGCCACATCTTGACATTTGTTGTGGAATAATAGCTCCAGCCTCTAGCCTCAACCAAGAGTCTGTGTTGCCTAGTATCGTAGCCTTATCTGATGCTACTGATGAGTAGTAAAGTCCCAGGCTAGTATTCGAAAGCTATCCATAATCCATACAAAGCGGATCTAAGTGCACCGTAGTATCTAAGCGTACACCGCAGAGCAGACATATCCAACACCAGGTGATTTCCACCAACAACCCTCACATCACACCCGCTCTCAGCTGGATGAAGTACATCAATGCTTATCCCTCATCTCACTGGTCCACTCGGCATGCTCCACCGCTCCAACCGACAAAGCCCTCTTCTCCACAGCAGCAGCAGCCCTCTCAATCTCATCTTCCTCCCGCTGAATGTACTTCTGCGGTCGCCGTCGACGGATGGCATCGGGATCTTTGGTAACTATTAGCGGGGGGTTGGACCGATAATACTCGTCCATATCCTCAAGGCTTCGGTTCGCTGCACACACCATTAGTAAGTACATCTTCACTGCTAGGGACAGACTACACAAACCTGTCTCGGGGTAAAGGAAGTACAGAATCGGTAAGAAGGCAGCATTAGTGACTGTCCATACGATCCAGAATTTCCAGTCTATGTTCTTGATGCCGATGGGTGTTATCTCGACCACGACGAAGTTTGTGATCCTGTTCAATTGTCAGTGAGAGATATAGCAGGGTAGAAGGGGTGCGAAACAAACCAGTCAGTAGCTGTCGCAACAGCCGCGCCCTTCGTTCTCATGGGAAGAGAGTTGATCTCCGTGGGATACAGCCACGGCACGCCGAGCATACCGATGCCGAATGCGCCGTAGTAGAGAAAGAAGAATGCAACGGATGCTGAGGCATATTTCTCACCGTTATCACTTATACGTGAGAACCGAAGTAGGATGGTAATGACCAGGAAGCAGAAGAATTGTCCGAACGTAGAGAGGAGCATCAAGCCTCGGCGACCCATTCTCTCGACGAGAAGGACGGCTAACCCGGAGAACACAAGATAGGATAGGGCGTTGCATGCTGCTAGCAGACGGGCCATTGTATCGGAAAGTCCAACCGACTAGATGAGATCATGCGTCAGCTCTTTCGACAGATACCATTAGATGATGTGACCGCTACCTACATCCATAAGGACCGTTGGCAGATAATATGACATGATATTGATCCCGCCGAACTGCTGCATGAATTGACTGCCTGCGCCGAGGAGAAGTCTGCGGAGCGTCTTGCTGTCATTTCCCTTTTTCTTCCAGAGGTCTCGCCACCGCGTTGAATTCTCGCGTTCATACCGGACGCTGTATTCGATCTCATTGCGCTGCGCAATCACGAAGGGGTCGTCGATGGGTTTTGCCTCGAGACAGCTGAGTACCACTGTGGCCTCCTCTGGTCTCCCGTGCGCTATGAGCCATCTATATATCATTAGCACGCTTGAGGTTAAGACGAAGAACCAGCATAGCCTACCGTGGCGATTCAGGAAGCCACGGAGTGGTGGACCATAGAATAATCAAGAAGAAGAATTGGAATGCTAGGGGGAACCGCCAGGCGATGGAGCCACCGACGAAGGACAATCCATAATTGATCCAGTTGACGAGGCAGAAGCCAAAGATATTCATCATCATCTCAAAAATGACCAGTTTACCACGCCACTTCAGCTGTGATGTCTCAGTCTGCCAGATAGGTGCAGTGGCGGTATTGATACCATTGCCAATCCTACCGTCAATCGAGGCATTAGTGCGACGGAACTGAGACAAGTTGCTAGAATCAATAATGCGATATACTCACCCCAGGACAATACGTCCGACAAACATCTGGGCCAAGCCGAAAGAGACAGCCTGCAGCACAGCCCCTACAGCCATAATCGTAGTTCCTAGCAGAATGGCCTTTTTCCGTCCTAGTTGCTCTCCGATTGTGAAGGCAACAATTGCACCGAAGAAACAGCCCACATCGTATATAGCTGTGACCGTGGAGAGCGACGTGGTTTTCTCCGGGCCTACCAGGTCATGGACTTCGAGAAAGTCTCGTGTGATAACCACACCACCTATGGCGTGTTAGAGGAGTACACAACTTGTTCATTGGGTCATATTCTCACTAAAGACGCCCTGGTCGTAACCGAACAAGGACATGTCAGTTGCGCAAGCAACCTAAGGAATTGTCAGCCCAACGAAGGCACAAAGGTATAAAAGGTGTCCTACCGTAACCCAGAATGTAAGCCATCCTCCTGTCAAGCCAAAATAGGGCTTTTTGGTTTCGTTTGACACTGTCATGCTGGACATAAAACCTTCAGCGCCTCAATTGTGATCGATCAGCCGCTGGGTCCTAGAGAGTTCAAGCCACGTGAAGCCGCGCGTTTTCCTGGCTCCATCACATCTTATATACGGTGGGATTGTCATCCCAGTTCCCACTTCGAACGGAATAGAAGATCCACTCAATGACTCGAATAGTCCATACGCCGTTTGCGTGCGCGGGGGAAGTGTGGAGAGAATCCGGGGTAAGAGGGGTTTCATAAACAAGCCGGAGTTGGAAATTAGGGTCAGGGTTCGGAAGAAGTCCGCGATGCAGGAATGAACGACGGACGGAAATCAAAGCGACCTTCCCTCTCGGCTGGATTACCCTCCGAGTGTCTCTCCCTGTGGAGCACGGATCCTAGTGATTGCCAATAGTATTTCTCGTTTTCATAGTAGCAATGTCGGTTGCTATACCCTGGATATTACAGGTAAGTCGAGATACATGGCGTTAAGGCTTCGGATAGCAGATCCCAGTTCAGTCGGATCAGCTACCAATGTATGTCTGCTGACCATGCAGAGTCGGAAATCTTGGATCGCCTAATGGTCGATTTGATATGCCATGCAATGCAAGGGTACCCGTGATGTGTTGTTCAGCACGCCATGGGGTCTACTCTGGAAATCAATTACCGAGAGCCACGTCTAGACCTTCAAGGCCTGCTGTAAAAGTGGATATAAATAAGAAACAAGCCCCGGAAGAGCAGCACGACTTCACTCATACTCAACAAGGTAGTCATTCTACACTTAAGTACAAAATTGCTACACAATGACCGCCGAATCGTCCAACTCCGACCGCACGCTACCTTCTCGTGCAGCGCCGTCGAAAAGCGCTGCGGTAGCCAACAATGAAGAGTCCAAGCTGACGGCGCTCGAGAAAGCCGAACTAGCGCTCGCCGACAAATACAGTTCTCCAGATGTTTACATCAACGGGGAAACGGATACCTGCTGGCATCCGTGGCTTAACAATCTCGAGCTGAAGCCATTGCGCTTCGAAACCCGCACAGGAACATTTGTCGTCGTCTTGCGCAGCTTGGAAGATACATGGTTGGGTAAACACCGGCACCGAGGCTCTGTCACCGCAGTTACCATGAAGGGGGAATGGAACTACAAAGAGTATGTAACTGTCTCTGTTAGATGGCACCAGGACAGATCTGTGCTAACTAGCATAGGTATGACTGGGTCGCGAAGCCAGGGGACTACGTGGTGGAAAACCCAGGAACAATTCATACGCTCCACATGTCCAAAGGCGCGGAGGTGGTTTTCACTATCACGGGCAGTTTGGAGTTCTTTCATGACGATGACACCCTGAAGAGCACGATGGATATCTTCAGCTACGCTCATCTATACTATGAACATTGTCAAAAGCAAGGGATTCAGCCAAATGACGGGCTTTGGTACTAGTGCATGGCGAATAAGGTGCAAATTATTAATAACAAACGCGTTTAGTTACTTGTAATTGTCTATCTCCAAATAGCCACCTGATTGCACTGTCTCAGTTAGAGTAAGATAGCTAATGTTGCTTCTGGTGAGGGCTGTCATTCCTTGAGCTGGAAATTATATATCAGTAATCACCCGCCAGTCTTCGCCAAAGCCCTAACGCGTAGACACCCAGCTTCACACAAGCACCATCATAATAAATTCAGAAGAAAAAGTAACAGTAACAGAGAGAAAATAACAGGATCAGGCAATAAATCAAACAAAGAGATTACCCCGCCTGCAGCAACCTTGCAAATGTCAAGTCATTTACGAGCATTGGCCCAAACACGAATACCAGGTCCCACCTCGGCATGATTGCCGATCCTGAAATACAATCCGTATCCGCACAGAACCATTCCCCCCAACGACGCTTTGCGCTCGCCTGGCCATTCTGGCCATCATAGCGATAATGCGTACTTGGACTGGTAAGTACCTGAGACTATTACATTAGTTATCCACCTCTGACATCACTGTGATCTAGGGTGGTGAGTCAACAGGATGTGAGAGTAGCTCGACTGGGCTAAATATCGCCAGTTTAACATGTCGGGCGCGCAAGGTCAAATGCGATGAGAGAAAACCACTTTGTCGAAATTGTGAGAAATCTCGGGTTGAGTGCGTCCCCAGCGATTTGGTCTCTTTCAGGCACTGGCGACATCCGTCACCTAACAAGAATGGATACTTCGGTCTTTGGGAGCGGAGTCAGACCTGGGTGGAGGTCAGGATCTCTGCATTGGAGGTAGCAGGATGTATGAGTCCTAAGATGTGATTATGTGCATCTGGCAAATGCTGACATTATTGAACGGGATGTAGATGAGTTTGTAGATGAGACCAACGCGATAGCAGATGAGTACGAGATTATCTGCGACGAAGCCGTCGTACGAAGCTCTGTCAATCATAGGAAAGCATGTCGTACGGTAGTCCGCGATACAACAGACTCTGATGCACATATCGCTATTTGTGAACCACACCAGGCACGTATAACAACATTATCATCGACTCCAACTCACTGGTATGACACTAGAGGATATGTCATAGAACGTTCAACGCCGACAGAGGCCGACCATGCATCTTGGCATAATGGGACCTCGGTTGTACAGTCTCGAGGAGAGTCCGATAGGATGAACCATGGGGAGGCGGTTCGAGGTACTGCTAGTAGCACATCCAGCAACTCGTCCGATGACACAGGAGACACATTGAACAAAGGAGCACAGGCTCTGTTGTCCATGAGTCATGCTTCAGACCCTCGGTTGGCCTACACTTCGACTAGCATCTCACCACCGGAGAGCTTACAGACATATTGCAGCCAGGATAGTCCCTTCACGTCTGTTGTCCACCCATCGAACCCAGGGGGGCTAGCACAGGCCGCTCCTCTAAGCTCACAAGAAGAAGCATGGCTACTGCGTCAATTCAGCGCCGAAGTAGGTACCTGGATGGATCTCTCAGACCTGTCAGAAACCTTCTCGAAAAAGGTTTGTCGCTTGGCAACGCACGACCCATTGCTCAAAGCAGCAAGTATTGCATGCGCTGCGAAGCAACAGTTCTTGACCGGAAAATTACCAGAAGGCATGCACATCGCACGACGAAATTACAATACTGCAATTTCTCTTCTGATAGATAGGCTGGGCAATAACGATGAACCATTAGCCAGCTATGGCTTCGCAGCCACTGTCATTTGCTCATGTTATGAAATGTTAGACGCACCGGCCTCAGACTGGCAAAGACATCTCGACGGGGTGTTCTCTTTCAGCAAATTGCGCAGAGTGAACGGATCTTCTGGTGGAATCGAGCAGGCTGGGTTTTGGTCAACAGCGCGACAGGATGTAGTCTGCTCCATCATGCACAGATCAAAGCTGAGACTAGACCCCGATTTGTGGGCAATTGACCTGGAACACATAGGCCAGGAAGGGAGTGAGGACTTGGTTAACAACCAGTGAGTTGGTCTATGTGTCCCTACTTGGATCGGCATGCTTGATACTGATGTATAAAGGATCCTCACGATTCTCGCGAAAGTGGTAAATTTAATAGCGTGCTCAGATAACACCTCGGCAAGTAAAGGGCTCGATGAATGGTGCAAGCTGCGTAACCTTCTAGACCACTGGAACCGCTCTGTGAAGGGCCAAAGCTTCATGGACCCAGTCTCAGTATACGAGGAGGACGGCAAGCCGTTCACAACGATATGGTTTGCGAGGAGCGTTTGCGGTAAGGTTATATTATAATCAATAGGATGCACTTGTTGACGATGTGCAGCTTCCTCGTGGCAGATGTTCCATCTTGCTCAAATTCTGCTCCTCACCTCTTGCCCTACGCAGGACCGGAGTTGTATGATTGCCTTCAGGACAATAGAGGTTAGCATGTACACGATCACACCCTCGCAAACGGTGCTAAGCGATCGTCAGGGACAACTACTATACCATGCGAGACAAATATGTGGCATAGCCCAAAGCAAGCCAGACGGAAGCTGTCGGGTAAACTCCGTTCAGCCCATTTACTACGGTATGCGACATTGGCTAGTCTGCGTCTGTTAGGGGCTCGACTGATGTATTTCAACTATAGCTGGATGCTGTTTTAGCGACAACAAAGAAAGGAAGGCAGCCATTATGCTTCTTGAAGAAATTGAGGATAACCTGGGCTGGGCTGCCAAATACCGCGCCTGGGATCTACGAAGGCTGCGTACGGAAATCTAGAGAATCCCCAACCTGTATACGTTCACCAGGAGCACGGCGGGGGCTGGGCACGTCACCCTTCAGTAAGAATTATATAAAGACTATTGCTTAACATTGTGCTCTAGAGGATAGAGTTGTCAATACTAAATAGATCGGGTGTCTTCAATCAGCGCTCAAGGTGGATTGGAAGGAGCAGTCCTCAGCTTCGATTGCCTAAAGGATCTGATATGGAGTTACAGGGTTATCGCATACGGCTCAAATAATACGATTGTGCAGCAACTGGGCAAGTGCAGTGGTATCCACCGGGACAAATTGAGTACAAACCTGGTCGCATATCATTGAGAAACAAATCTAGTCGGCACGCATGAGCCTCTCCAGTCGACACCGCACCGAATACTGGAACCACACAGGGTACGCGCGAAGACGCTGCGCGAGAGTGCCAGAAGTGCCAGGTAAAAGGACATGCCCACTCTCACCCGTCAGAACCTGATCAACGATACCCTCAGCGACTGTATCAGGGTGTAGGAGGGGGTTGATAAACGTATCTTCGGGGGTCAGTTTGTCAATCAAGGCGGTGCGCGTAAAGCCCTGGGTAACAAGCACAGTGCGGACGCGTGGAGCCTGGTAGCGCGTCACCAATTCAGCCGCCAGCCCTTCGTGGAAGGCGATGGCAGCGGCCTTGGAAGCCGAGTAGTCGACCATGTTGGGGGCGACGGCGTAGCCGGACTGGGAGGCGACAGTCACCACCATTCCGTGGTTGGCCGCGATCATGTCCGGCAGAAACTCTTGTGCCAACCAGTAGTGCGAGAGGGTGTTGACATCAAACAACCGTCGGGTCACGGCCTCGGTGGTGCCGAGGATGGTCTTGCCGGTGAGGATGCCCGCGTTGTTAATTAGGATGGTTGGTTTGCCGAACGAGGCACGAATCTTGCTGCCCACCTCCGAGATGTTTTCGGGAGATGTAATATCGCATTCGTAGTAGCGGACACTGCTTGGCAGTGAATCTGCTGGAGGCGCGATGTCCAGGATGGCGACTTTGATGCCGCGATCACCGAACAGCTGTGCGACTCGCCGTCCAATCCCGCCACTGCCACCCGTCAGGACCACTACTTCACGGTTCCAGTCATAGTGATCTTTCTGGCCATTATTGATCACACGACGGTCCAGCCACCCTCCGAGCCGACTCAAAACAGCGAATGAGACCAGTACTTTGAGCGCTTTGAGCACCTTCGGACGCGACTCAAGGATCTCACGGCCCTTGGTAGTATATTGTGCTAATACTAGCAGGGGAACCATCTTCCAGGGGCTCAGCAAGGTCCGGTGGACTAAGTAGCTGACCGCATCGGCTGTGAATCCTGGTTTCTGTTAGCGCAGGCGAAGAACAAGAGAGCGGTGGTCAGCGCACCTTCGCGCGAGCGCCATCTCTTCGCCGGCGGTGCCATTTTGCAGGGGATATACCAGCGCGCTCAATATCTATCGCGACTCATGGAGCAGTATGGATCAGATCAAGAAGCAACAGGGGGAGTGATGAGGACCGCATCAGGCGAACCTGATAGATGATCGGCGGCCCTAAGATGGAGAATGCGGGGCTGCCGAGGTCCGCGCGCATAAAATGCATTTGCTCCTGCATTAAAATGCACACTGGCAATATAACTGAACGGAGCATGTGCATTCCAGACAGATAAGCAGGCTACGTAGTAGAGGTGCCGCAGTCCATCTATCTATAGCGAGCTAATGATATGGCTCTAACAACCAAACCAATTCACTGCTGTCCTTGACAGACGTCTCACTTGGGAAATGACGGCCTGGCGCTCAGTGCGTATTGCCGTTATTATAATCCAGGATAAATCACCTATAGTATATTTATTATATATCGAGATATGAACAGACGTCTCCTCAGGCATGCTAAGTGGTGCTACCTTGATAATTCATAGTACCTCGCCCATAGTTGTACAGTTAGAAAGTCTCCCAAGGGTACGTGAAAGCAACATGCACGTCAGCCACCAATTGCCGGAGGGATCCTTTCCTACAATCTCGGCTAAATTGCGTAATGCAATACCATTCGTCAGAGAGACGGGATTAGCATGCAATACCAATCGCTTAGTGGTGGAAGTAATCATTTTCATGTTTTGCATTCGATTGGAAGGGAAGTTATGGATCCACAAAACATGAACTACGCTGAAAGGTCAGAAGATTAATATGAAAGACAGTAGAAGGAAGACGTAAGACGGAGGGAGAGCGTCCGGGACACGAAGGTCCATAGTGTAGATCAAGGATATCGCTTATATTTTCTTAATGAATACCATTTTGCTCCTCGTTTCCGCCCCTGCCCATACCCAACAGCCGCTATCCCCGTACATTAACTGCACGACATGAAACAGTGCGTTTGGCCCTGAGTACCCAGCTCATCTAAGGCAGGATCTGGTCTGCGCAGCCAGTTTGCCAACATGTTCGTACAATGATCGGTAAGCTTCAGCTCAGACAGCATCGTGTCAAGGCGATCCCCACGCATATGAACGTCATGGGCCCGTCGCAGAAGATAGAGGCAATGGACCAAGTGCTCGCGGTTCGAGGTCCAATAGAAACCATTGACGTTGCGACCGACTTCATCGTAGTCCTTCATCTGACGGGTCATTTCCTTATCGTAGTAATATATAAAAGGCTTGCCATCATTAAACTCCGTAAATTCCTTCACATAGTCGTGCGGACACTCCCAGTGAAGCCAGCACGCTGAAAGCGGATCATACGTGCAACCGAGCGCTTCAGCTTCGTCGGTGGAATTGCCGCAGGAGAGTCTGGCCCGAGGAGCCGTGGGCAAACACTGTCGCTGTCCACCCTGGTCGGAGCCTGAGTAGACCGCCGAGTGTTCCAGGATCAGGGCCTGTCGGACTGGCTGGAGAGTGATTGCTGCAATCAATGCAATTATCAGGATCAGCAAGATCAGGAGGAGCCCAGTGATGGTGATCGTGGCCAGGTTGCGCTTCATGAACTGGTGTACGGAGCGGCGCCGTGGCCGCACTGTCAGCGTAGTATCACTGTCGCCGGAATCTCCCTCCTTGTCTGTCTTCGGGACAGGCTCACAGTTGCGTGGGAAAATCTTATTCATTCCGGTATAGAAATGATCGATGGTGGTGGAAAAGCGTTACTCTCGCGGAATTTCGAGAACAGGAAAGTATTCGCCTCCTTCGCTATCCAAGACAAGAGCAGCGAGTCTACTACACATGGTTATGTTTGCCGGTAACATGTTTATTGATTTACTTAGTGTGAAACCATAACAAAGGGTCCGCTTGGGCAGACCAGATTGAGATATCAATAAGGCTCACGGGCACCAATCATACCGGGGAAGGAATAGATCCCGATTCTGAATAATAGTATCAATGAAGTTGGCTCGTACATGGCACCCAGATTGTTCTTGGGTCGAAACCGAGGAATAATGAAAATGCGGACGAACCGTGGGAACTGCATTCTCCCTGTCCAGTCAAGGGCCAACGCCAAGGGAATCACAAATGCTACGGCGCCAAAGACTGTTGAGTGGACCAGAAGTAAACGCCCGGGAGCCGTCTTGAAGCTGTCTGTGCGTACCTATGCGTAGGTCCGGAACTAGATCTAACTAATGAACAAGATGATGCTGTTCATGGAGCCCATTATACTTTACAGCGCACTCCTAGCCTTTGAAGCTGCTCCCTTGATCATATTCACCTTTCCAGTTCAGCCAAGAATACTAGGAACAACCAGTCGATATTAATTATGCGCCATGGCCGCTTGGATTCCCGCCTGAACATCAGCCACGCGTGCTATCTAGATTATGTCACCCAAGATTGCATATACCGGTGTAACTACATATCCACTTGTTACGATATATGAAGTGTTTACTTACTGTTTTATACAAGCATCTCATGTCGATCGGCTTTCCGAGCCTAGACACACTATGTGGGCATATGTGAATACCTGTATACCATACTTGGACGGATTAAAAACTTCACCGAGACATGTATCATTGCCTATGTTTCTTGTACAAAGCAGTTCTCCAGCCTCACCTCCAGCCGCGCGCGATGATGTGGCAGAAGAAACCATCAGCTCATGATTTCTGCTCCTTCATGAACCGAATTAGAAGTTCTACAATAAGCTTTCCACTGCCTGATCCCAGGAATTGATATTTAAAAGTCGTGATCCAAAATAGAACGGCCTAACAAGGCCGGACCATGGCGACCAAACACACTTCGCACACGGCTGATTCGTATACCATCGGATGGATTGCAGCCTTGCCTATCGAGCGTGCTGCCGCAACAGCCGTTCTCGATGAGCGCCACGACAAGCCGAGAGACTTTGTCCAGAATCCAAATGACATGAATTCTTACACCTGGGGTAGGATGAACCAGCACAATATCGTCATCGCCTCGCTTCCTGCGGGGGTGCACGGGACAACGTCTGCTGCAATCACAGCGACAAAACTGCTCTCTTCCCTGCCTCAGATTAGAATTGCACTTTTGGTGGGAATTGGTGGCGGTATTGCTCGGCCAGGGAGGGGGCGTGATATTCGATTGGGTGATATCGTTGTCAGTCAGCCCCAGGGAGCTAATGGTGGAGTGATCCAATATGATGTGGGGAAGGCTGGCTGTGGTGGAAAATGGGAGCGAAAAGGCTCTCTCAGCAAGCCTCCACAGATACTCCTCAGTGCACTGGCAAATCTACAAGCGGAACATGAGTTAGGGGAATCCCAGATCCTAAGGTTTCTAGCTGTTATCGCAGAGAAGACAAGCCGGGCAGTGAGGAATGTCAACGGCAGCAAATTCGTTCATCAAGGTCTTAATAATGACCACCTTTTCCCTGCATCTTACAATCATGAATCTGGTCCTGACTGTCAATCCTGCGACCTAACCAAAGCGGTCAAACGCGATGAACGAGGATATACAGACCCAGAAATTCATTATGGCACCATTGCTTCTGGTAACACGCTCGTCAAGGACGCTATGTATCGGGACAAGATCCTCAAAGATATCGACGAGGATTGTTTATGTCTTGAGATGGAGGCCGCAGGGTTGATGGATCATTTCCCTTGCCTTGTGATCAGGGGTATTTCAGACTATGCAGACTCTCATAAAAATGACCAGTGGCAGCGATACGCCTCTGCCACCGCAGCGGCATATGGAAGAGAACTTCTGGATTATGTCCCCACACAAGAGCTTCAGGAGACAGAGACAGCGCTCAGAGTTCTCGAATCGAGTTAGTACTTCAACTGGCTACTGGAACTCTTGTCTCTAATAGCTTCATAGTGAAACAAACCCTCGAAACCGTCCAATGCATAGCAATAGATACCAAACAGGAGTTGATGAATTGAAATCAGAGAGTCACGCCGATGAGATCAGAAAGTGGCTGTTGCCTCCTGACCCGTCAACGAACTTGAATGATGTCCTGAATAAAAAGCACATTGGCACTGGGTCTTGGTTTTTGGAAAGCGAGCCATTTCAGAAGTGGAAAGGCAGCGACTATAATAGTCTCTGGCTACATGGCATTCCGGGCGTGGGGAAAACAGTTCTCAGTGCTTCGATCATCGCAGCATTGAGCCAGGAGCCCGATCAATCTGAAAACATTCCTCTCCTGTACTTCCTTTTCGATTTCAGTGACAATAAAAAACAATCGCTCAGCGGGCTTGTTCGCTCGTTTGTGACACAGCGCGAGGGTGTCTTGACACCCTTTTTTTCTCTACTCAAGGCCGCGGACAGCCCACAGATGAGGCACTCTGTGCTACGTTTCAGCAAATGCTAGACACTGTGAAAGCTACGCGCATAATCATAGACGCATTGGATGAATGCACAACAAGGACCGATCTTCTTCAATGGATAGAAGCTCTCATTCACTCAGAAGGCACGGTGCCTCAACTCCTTGTTACAAGTCGCAAAGAAGTGGACATTGAGTCTAGTTTCGAACGGCTGCTGCCTAACAACAGTATTTATCCTATTATACAGGGCCCTGTGGACGACGATATTCTTGCATATGTTCATGAGCGGCTGCTAACTGACCGTGGATTTGAGAGATGGCAGACAGATGCGTCAGTGCAAAATGAAATCGAGTCTGAACTTATGAAAAGGGCAGGAGGGATGTGAGTACACTCTGTGGCCCTTGGATAATTTGAGTGAAGTGTTATTGACATCTGCGAGGTTTAGGTGGGTTGTATGCCAACTTGATATTCTGCAAAAGTGCTTGGATCTCAAAATGCTTCGACGGTCACTACGGTCTCTCCCGAAGACTTTATCAGAAGCATATGGCCAAATTCTGGCCAACATCGATGAAGGCTACAGGGATTATGCCATACGACTTTTGCAGTTTTTGACTTACTCAGAGCGTCCCTTGGACCTTGAGGAAGCGGTGGAAATTATGGCAATATATCCCGCCGCACAGCCTCCTTTTGATGTTAAGCGAAGAATGCCAGCGCCTCGCGATATTATGAGAATATTCCCAAGTCTCGTTTCTCTCGTGATGGATCGTAACGGCATGAATGTCCATCTATCTCACTTCTCTGTTCAACAGTATCTGAAATCCAACCTGATCAATGCAAGTTTCCCAGAACACATGGCTGATGTCGGAATGCTGTTCCAATCAAGCCTGAGTGAAGGCAGCGCACGAGCCTCGATAGCTATAGTTTGCCTATCATACTTGTCTTATTTCAACGACGAAGGCGCTATCACGCATGGCATGGGATTCTTTTCTCTATACCCATATTCTACGCACTATTGGATGGAACATGCAAGGGCGGCAGAGAGTAACAAGGAACTGATGATAAGATTTTGAAGTTCTTCCTTCAAGAAAGAGGAGCATATAGTATCTGGGCCTTTTCGTTTGAAGAATATATGTTTAAAAGAATGGTCCGGCGCCGATCTGTTCCATGGCGTCGGATAGACGAGGCCCCACCCATATATTATGCATCTTGCGCAGGCCTCTGTCATATTGCTGAGATCCTCATAGATCGCGGGGCCGACGTGAATGCCCTGGGCGGAGAATACGGATATCCACTTGTAGTCGCGTCCTCTGAAGGTCGAAGAGATATGGTAGCGTTGCTTTTAGACAACGGTGCTCGTATTGACGTTTGTGTAAAGGACCATGGCACATTTGATCACGGTACGCCACTGCACGTTGCATGTTTCGATGGTCACAAGGAGGTCGTGCAGCTTCTGCTAGCCAAAGGCGCCAATGTCAACGCACCAAACAGTCGATGTGGAACGCCACTCATGGATGCTTCGGTCAATGGTCATCTAGAAGTTGTCAACCAACTGCTAGAGTGAGGCGCCGATGTTAATGCAACAGTATATTCAAAGCCTAAACCATTCCGGAATGCCTTGGGAGCCGCCTGCTGGGGAGGTCACCTAGAAATTGTGCATCAATTATTGGCGAAAGGGGCTATTATTAATAGAGACGGTGGGAGCTGGGGCAGTCCGCTCACGGTAGCTTGTGCCCAAAGCTACACTGAGATTGCAGCATTGCTTTTAGAAAGGAGTATTAACATTAACGAGCGTTGTCGATCTCGTGGAACTGCACTTCAGCCAGCCTCTCGTTGGGGTCGAATGGAAACGATGCGACTGCTCCTTGAAAGCGGGGCTGATGTCAGGCTACAAGCAAGTGCACGGTTCGGACCCGAGAGTCACCTCCTAACCACTTGCGAACGCCGCTGTCGAGAAGCGGCAAAGCTTCTCATAGAAAATAGTGCCTGATCTAGTCATGACATGGACTTGCTCGATACTGCTCTCCAGGATATGTCGGGGAATGAATACAAGGAAGCCGTACGATTGCTGCTAGGGAATGAAGCAGCAGCGCGATGTGATACAGAATAGAAATGGCAATGTCAGGTATTATACTTTGTCTAGTTGGTATCGAATATATTTGGCGACTGGAAAGCGCCGCGTTTTATCGCACGGAGCCTATGGTAACTTGGTGTAGCTCACTACATGGTCTCCCGAGACGCACACAACTGTTGATGAGGGAATTACTCTTTTCTGTCGAGTTATAGTACCATGAATGCATATTGTTCAGACTATGGAGTCTTCAAGTACTATGACATCTATGGAAGCGCAACAGATGCGAGGAGACCAATCTAGTCCTCATAATACACGGGCATTTCGGATTATCAGCTACTCAATCACTGCCGACATGGTTGAGTATGTTTCTTCCGTGCAACAGCAAAAGCCTCAATCAGCGAATGCACCAGCCATCTAGCTCTGGGTCCACAGTTCTGTGCTGCATGCTATAGCAGGATAAATGAAAGCCCGGCCATTGCACACCGACCGCATTGCGGTATGTCACAGACCCATCGCAGGCCATTTTCCCACAGGCTTTCTACAAAAATGTTGATATTCACGACGTGACAAAAGTTTCCATGGCCATGTGTGACAACCTTTGATAATACCAGACTACGGAAAATGTGAGCTTTGTCTTGGGCTCTTAGTTCCTTTCCTACAACGTTTAATGTAACAGGGCCAGTTCCCGTGCGTGATATTGAGGTTGTACAGTGCGTCGGGCACTTTAGATTAACGGAGACCCTCACTCGTCCAGGGGCTCCACGCACACGACAAAGAGTTTCAACTATAGCCAATGCACCTGCGAGATGTAGCACTTGTGGACCCCGTCAAAGCGATATTGGTACATGGTATCACCGACGACCTGCAGGCCTTAGGATCGAAACGGAAAGTGAGCTGAGCACGTCCCGCTAGAAAGAAAGAAACATATTACGATAGCTCAATATACAGAGTACGGAGTACATGATATACCTTGAATACAGCTTTGGTGCGCCGCCGGGCGCACTTGCCCTACGGGAAATGGAGGCGTTGGGGAATCCATTCAAATAGCCGCGCAAAACAAATTAGGTATAAAATAATTGCTCACCTTGGTATCAGTCACTGTTTGGCACGATCTCTCACATATGTTAGGTCTAGTATCTCAAGAAAAACAATCTACCACACCCATGGCGCGAGACAGCACGCTCAGCATGGCACTTTCTTTTACTTTCTTTGCAATATGCCTTTTGCAAGTCCAGGCTACGGGTGTTGAGCCCGGTCCTTCCAAGCCAGCGTTCCTAAGCTTAAGCCCTGAAAGTTGGTTGACCTCTCCGCGCAGAAAGCTATTGTCAGGAGACCACTCAACTAACTGTCCAGCTTATAGAATTACGAGAGGCGCATAGCAAGCTTAAGCTGGGCGCAACGCTTGACGGGGCGAAGTTCGCTGAGGTTGAATTCAATGACGATATATATTGGGACGGGAAGTTTGGCAGCACCTCTTCGTTCAGGAAAGAGTACCCTTTTGATATTTGGGTGGATGGTGTGGATGATGAAGAGAATGAATACAACAATGCGCATCCGAATTTCCATGCCTCTCGCCTTCCCGGTATTGGAAGCAGCAAGGATATCTACCCGTATATTGCTAGCATTGTAAGTCACTGCTGATTTTGCCAATATTCCCTAGCTGACAATCATGAAGTCGCCAGCAAAGTATGGCCGCAGTCAGAAGTTTATGTACTGGGATATGGTATGGAACCAGGCTGAAAAAGAGAAAAACGGCGATATCATCCTGGTAGACTTGGCGCAATATGTCCAGGGCTTAGCAGCCGAGAAGCAAGAGGATCTTATCCCGTCTGTCACCACGAAGAGCCTAAGGTTTACACCACCAGAACAAATGGAAACAAAGCAGACTATTCCACCGTACCGGGGAACATATTCTGTACATTATAAAGGCAGCAACGCCAAATGGGCTCATAGCGATATTGAGTATCGTCAGATAAGCCTGGAATACCATGACGACTCTAAAAAGCCGGCTGGAACTGGTCCACACAACCTGCATTACTTTCACATTAGCTCTTGGAAGGACCGACAAGCAATTGATCCAGAGAAGCTGCAATTCCTCATCGACGAGGTCGACAAGAAATTCAAAGGCCAAACGATCATCGTGAACTGTTTATTGGGATTTGGGCGTACAGGTTCCTTTATTGAAGCAAGGGAGATGTATCGGGAAACAGTGAAGGCGAAAAGTACTAAATGGTTCTTCTCGTCCTCAGGTGACCCGATTGAGGAATATACCGCCACGCTACGCAAGAGACGAGCTTTGATGATCGACAGTTCCAGTCAATATGAGTTCTTACATACCTGGGCAGCAAGGATGTGGACCATGACAACTGAAGGTAATACAAAGACCGCAGCCGGCTCTGCGGGCAATCCGCCCAGCCAGGGTCGTCGGCCGCCAACATCATGACAACCTGCGAGGTTTCGTTGCCTCTACTGTGAACGTCAGCCATAAATGTGGTGACGCCTGAGATAGGGAGAATTCTTTGTATGTAGGGATATATGTAACTATGGAGTACTATCCATACCCACGCCGTAGCTCACTGTCTCGATTTGCATACGCCGCGGGTGCCAGTAGGATGACAACCAAATAAGAAAACCACTGCCGATACCCATCTTGCTTTCATTCCTGTAGCTGTAATACAAGAAAATGTGAAGGAACCGGAGAAGATCTCAAGCACGTGTGCAAGTCATCTACACATGTCACGGTCATTCAGCTACCGTGGTACAGTTTGGGCGACTAGCATGCATTATGATGACTCATGTCAGAAAGGCTATGGGCACAAAGACGTGCCTGAGGCCCCATAGTCTATTACTATAGAGGCTGGCTGTAGTGAGTCTCAAGTACAGCAGTAGCAGTTTGAGGAATTCGAGGTGGTGACGTGACTGTCAGTCCGCCTTATCTCTAGAACCACATCTTTATTACAAAACTCTTGCACGGGCAAGTGAGAACTCCAGACCTCTGGGATCTTCTCCCCTGAAACAATTAAATCCGTGGCCAAGCCCGTCTTTGCTGCATAGGCCAAAGTTTACGTTGCCCAACACTTCCCGTTTGCCCCGGCGCTTATCCACACTTCAGTGCCATCTGTCTTGGTAACACATCATCTTTAAGCCTCTGTCCAGCGCCCTAATGAACTTAGCAGAGGAAATAATCTTGAACATTATCACTCATTCAGTAAAGTCCAAGATCTCAGGGGGTCTAACTGCTCACGTTACGATGAGTAGCAAGCCCACTCCCTATAGCCGAACACATATACCTGTCCATACTGTCCACCTGCTGCCCACCTCCAACTCTCTCCGTTTTCTGTTCAACCCCAGGAAGCATGTACTGGACTTTATTGATTATACTCCCATATCTATCAGCTCTCGCAGCTGGTGGGATACCCACGTATAGTTCACAACCCAACTCTGGGAACATTGCTCTGCCTCCCTCAAACATCGATCCGAAGGCCGAGACGTCCAACCTCCACTATCATTGTGGGGGTTTCATCTTCCTGCATCCCCCTGACTATCAACCACATCTTCTATACCCGGATCCACAGACCAATTTACAACCAAGTTCACCACAGCGAAACCGGCCAGTATCACCGGGTCCAGGGCGTCCTATAAGCCGCGCAGCTGCACCACCTCCGGTATACATAGCGGCAAAGTGTAAAAAGCCAAACGGCAGAGAAAGTCTCGCAGGAATCAACTTGAATAAATGCCTTGGCTGGGATGACCATCGCAAAGCTTTCACTGCAGAGTACGAGTATGTATCACCCATTGCAGCAATAGCGGCCACGGCCATTGCTTCCAGCTGTCAGTTTATCCCTAATTGCTTACGATACCAGCGCATATGGAATTGTTAAAGGGAATTGCTGGGACTGCGGGTACAAGAAGTACCGAAAGCCCGCTTGGAAGTTTATACTGGGTTGCAAGTGTAGCACGAATGCACAGGATCGAACACAGTGGGAGGTCAAGGAGTTCACCCAACGTGAGTATCTAGCTTGTATCGAGCCACAATTCGCTAATAGGCTTTGTAGCTGGCGTTCTAGTATACAATGAGAAGACAGGTCAAATGGGTTGTCATGGGTATTTTGCAGATCTCAACGTACCCGACATCCGCTAGTTTGCTCCCATACGTTTA